AGAGAGAGAGAGAGAGAGAGAGAGAGAGAGAATAAGTCTCCAGACCAAATACAATCTCAGTAGAGTTGCATTATAAAAATAAACAAAATTAGTAAAGTAAAATTTAGAATTAAAGAGGGTGAAAAGAGCACAAGGGGTCTCTTCAAAGTCTTGACAACAGTGATTAAAATCTAAACTCTTACACTGTACTCCCAAAGCCATATAATGTGGTGAGTAAAAGATAATAAAGAAAGAGCTAAAATAGCTATTTTTCCATACCTCCTGTTCTTGAAACAGGATGTGAGTATGTAACAACCACTTTGATTAGTCTTCTCAGTTTGATTACTGGCTATCTATTTTATATGAACCTTTGAAATGCTAAGGTACCATCAGTCTTTGGGCTTTCCAGTAAAGTTAGAACAACATTTTGTTTTTGCTTTTGGCAAACACCAATCTCAGCATAATCCAAGTAACTGATTATCCCAGCTCACAACTCCCAGAACAGAAATGGAAGAGTGGATTCCCATTGCATGAATGTGCTACACATACATACAGATCATAACTACATGAACTGCAACTGCTACTAAGTTTTCTACTAACTTAGAACAAGAAAAACAAGAAAAAAGAGTATTGCTATAGCTGCTAAATTTGGAAGCCCACTAGGATATTCTGAAGATATCAGTTGAAGCCTTCATTAAGTTTATCTAATATTTTAGATAAATCATCTTTTAAATACACCTTGGGAGGAGTCCAAGGTACAACTATGAGGTCTCCAGTAACTTGAGATAGCTTACTAGCCAATGCTTTAACAATACCACCTCTTGTCAGTATCAACGAGACCATTCTTACAAAGACACAGAGAAAGATTCACCATGATGCAGGAGAAGCTACGAGACATTCTGCTTCAAAATGGAATCAACCCACCTATTGTACTTGCTGTTGCCTGTGGCTCAGTCACAGTGGTTGTGTTATGGAAGTGGGTGATACATAGAGAGATTCAGAGGAAAATGAAAGAAGCCCGACAATGGAGAAATAGCAGCCTGGAACAAATGAAAAAAGTAGCTTGGAAGCTTAAACAGAAGGTGGGTTCTTCTTGGGGATGGATGGGTGGTGTTTGTATGTTATGGAGGGCTCCTCCGAATGTAAACTTTGCTGCTTTTGTAAAGACCTTTGAATTGTTCTCAAGTCTGAATGATGAAACTTAGGTCAGCTTTACTCATTTATGGACCTTCTTGTTTTACTAAGTGTGGGTTAGCATCTATGATAGGATGTATCATTTCTAAATATTTTGTCATGTCGTACTTTCTGTTCTTTTATGGGAAGTGAAGATCAATGAAATCTTATGTACAGCTTGAATTTTTTTTAAAAAAAACTATCCACTACTTTCTATATGGGTAGAAATGATGTATTTGTTGTGCATTCCTCTTCATTTGCTTTGAAGTAGCACAAATGCAGCATGGAAGCTATTTTTAATTTTAATTTTTGCATCTGCAATAATTACAAAGTACAGTAATTTTATGTGAATTTCTCTCTCTCTCTCTCTCTCTCTCTTTCTCTCTCTCTCNGACTGGGTAGGAGTGGGTTGGCAGTCGTGTGACTGGGTGGGCATGGCCAACTTGTAAAATGTGGTGAAATTCACTTAACAACGCTCTTGCTTAGCCACCAAAATGTTGACTCAGAAACTCTGGCATTTGAAGCACGCAAGTCTTAAAGCTGTCAAGTTACAAGACCCTTGCACACCTAACCCTTTATAAAAAAAAAACCAGGGGTGTTCAAACTTGACAGCTTTAAGATTTGTGGCCTTCAACTCACAGAACTCCTTTCCTCGCTTAGCTGCTATCGCCAGGGTGCAGCCAGGACAAGCAAGGTTTTGGGAGGGACCTTCCCTTCCCCTCCAGAGAGCTCATGTCGGGAGAGAGGAAGCGGGCTGGTTTGAATGTGGGCGAGCGGGAGGTTTAGTGACCAGTAAGTGCCTCCTTCACTCGTTCGGGCAGGCAGAGAAAGAAAGGAGGTGTACAATAGCCAAGGGCGAATCACTGAGAGCATCGCTTGCAGCCGCTTCTTGCCATCGCCGCCATGGCAGATTCAGCAAAAGTGGCTCCAGCAGCAACGGGACATACTTGGGGAAGGGAGAGCCAGAACTGACTGCCCGGGATTGTGCTTCAGCTGCCGCTGTGAAAATGTCTGTTTTGCCAGCTGGGAGGCTGGCAAAGAAGCCTCCATTTCGCCATCGCTGCTGAATAGTCCATGGATTGACGCTGCAGGAGGGAAGGAAAGAAGCTGGTGTTGGGAAGAACCTTACCTCCCCCTCCAGAGAGCCCATGCTGGGAGAGAGGGAGCGAGCTGGTTTGAATGCAGGGAAGCAGGCAGTTTGGGGCTGGTGCCTCCTTCGCTCATTCAGGCAGGTGGAGAAAGAAAAGAGGCATGTGATAAAGCACCCCAGCCACCAAGGGCAAAGGGGACCGCCTCGGCTATCACACACTTCCTTTCTTTCTCTGCCTGCCTGAACAAGCAAAGGAGGCATTGTTACCTGCTCACCCACATTCAAACCAGGCTGCCTCCTCTCTCTCCACACATGCTCTCTGAAGGGGGAGGGAAGGTCTCTCCCCAAAACCAGCTTCCCTTACCTCGCGGCGCAGTTCCGAGATGGCGGGATATTCTTTTTTTTGCCGGTAGAGGGCGTAGCCTTCCTGCTACCTACAGTCCAGCCCCGCGTAATCTCCCCACCACCCCACTGACCTGAGGACACTTCCAGCTGCAGTTGGCATTCTCCTAGCGATCCTTCCTGGCTGCGTCCCAGGAGCAGTCACATGGTGGCGACGCGTGGGCTTCTGACCGACACAGGACCTGCCCAGAGAGGAAGGATCCGCAGGAGAAAGCCAACTGCTGCTAGCAATGGGGCACAAAGGAGCAGCTGCCCAGCAACTGCCACATCCTGTTGCAGGTACCCAGGGTGGCCTTGATGTCCCACCTCCCTGCCATCTCCAGTCCCGCACAATCTCCCCACCAACCCACTGATCTTGGAACACTCTGCTGGACGGCCTCTCCTTCACATCCTGTTGCTGGCTGCAGCCGTGTCCGGGCAGGTGCTATGCCCTCAGAGGCATCACCTGGCAGTGGTGCATGGGGTGCTGACTGGTTCCTTCTGGAAGGGGCAGGCAGATGGGCAGCTTTCCCCCCAACCTCCCTGGCCACCTGCAGCCTCAGACCCTTGGCTGGGCGGGCAAAGGAAGTGGGTGGGTGAGGCAAGCATGGTGTGGATGGGCGGGGGGAGCAAGCAGTGACTGGGTGCGTGGGGAGAGCGAGCAGGGGGGCAGGCCAGGGGAAGGAGGATTCTAGTACAGGGCCTTCAGAAGATCAGGTACAGGAAGGCATGCTAAATTTCACCAACCGTTTCGCCCGTACTGGTGCATACCGACTGAAATCCACCCCTGCTACAAAGGTTAAAGAAATGTTGCAGGTTGAGATTCATTTCTATGCAACTATTCCAAGACAGCAGCCATGTTATTCTTTTACAAGAAAACAACAAAACGTTTTTCAGCGCTTTAAAAACAAACATATTATGATAAAAGCTTTAATATTAATTAAATGAAGTTAAACTATTTCATTAAATTTACTTCCATTGCAGATAGAAATAGCAATAGCACTTAGACTTATATACCACTTCACAGTGCTCTAAGGCCCTCTCTAAGCAGTTTTACAGAGTCAATATATTGCCCCCAATCTGGATCCTCATTTTATCGAACTCGGAAGGATGGAAGGCTGAGTCAACCTTGAGCCTGGTGAGATTCAATCTGCCAAATTGCTGGCAGATGGTGATCAGCAGAAGTAGCCTGCAGTACTCCACTCTAACCACTGCACCATTGCTGTGTGAGAATGAAGTCTCACACACTTAATGTTTGATTGCCCGTGGCAGTGCAGAGACATATGTTTTCTAGGATTTAAATCCCTCAATTCTTCCACCCTCCCTACCTCACCAGCCTGAACCCTTACACGAAGATGGAGCACTGGATATGTGTTCCTATAACAGCATGCTGTTTGTGCTCTTATGTATATATGGGATACTTTTTAAAATATCCACATGCACATAGTACCAACAACAGATGTATCTAAACAATAACAGCTAGCCATGGATCTCGACAGATGTCTCTGAGTTCTGATAGGCATACAGGTTCTAAAGCACAGTAGGCTATTTTTATGAGAAATGTATAACTAGTGATAAGTCATTTGTCATTTCATAAAAGCATAGCTCAGTTCACAGCATAGCACTCTGCATACAATGAAGGTGTCATATGGTATTGGAATCTAATTATTAGATAAAAACTGACACCTTAGCAAAGGACTTTAGAAGAGAACTTTCCATGTATGGTGCTTTTGTATAGTTCTTTCTCTTCAGCTTAACTGTCTTTGCATTAGGAGGAAATAGCTGCTTGTGATTTTGGTTGGTATTTTATCAATAAAAACTGTTCCTGGACAAATCCTCATAACTTGAAGTTCTGTATAACATATCAGTACATTTGTTATATATAATATACATACTCTGACATAACATTATATCAAGCAAGTTGTGTTTTCTCTCCCAAAGGGACACATCTCTACCTGTGGCTTGGTGCAATATCTTGACAAAGTAGAGGTTGATGACAGCGTGATAGTAAAGGTTTTGAAGAAACAAGGAGCAATTCCATTTGTGAAAACTAATATTCCTCAGAGCATGATAAAGTATTTTTCCCTCTATTTTAGAAATTTCTTGATTGATAACAACCTGGGAATCTAGGGTGGTGGGTTAATGGAAGAAAAATTAAAGAAACATGAAAGATTCTCTGGCAGAAGCTTTAAAACAAGGTAGAAAAATATTTCTGCTTGGATAAATAACATAAGGAATTTATAACTGCAGCAGAAACAAGGAGGCTGCAACTTGAAATTTTGCTATCTCAATATTCTATCACCTTAATTTCAGCCTGGATCAGGCCTGGATATTGCCTATAATGGCTAAAATAATTTTCCATGGTCCGAAGTATTAATTTAAGTATTGGGAATAATGTGGCAATGTGGCATTTATTATGCCATTCTTGAAAAAGCCTCTGGAGCACTTGAATGGCCATGACTACAGAGATTGTTGATCTATGCTATTTCCTCTCTTTCACCAAGGCAGTTGGAATTGTTTGCTATTCTATATTAGACTTCTCTTCCACAACTGGGATTGTCAATTCCATAATCCCCAGTCACTGTTTTTCCTGAGAATTCTGGTCCTTGCAATCTCAAAACATCTGAATGGCACCAGATTCCAATCTTTGTGTCATATTTTGGTATCTGTCCTCACTCACTGGCTTTGCAGTGCTATGTTCAAGTTATTATTTGACTGATTATTATATAATTTCCAGTGGTGAAATTCAAATGTTTTTACTACCGGTTCTGTGGGCGTGGCTTGGTGGGCATGGCAGAGGAAGGATACTGCAAGACCTCTATTCCTACTCCATTCCAGGGGAAGGATACTACAAAATCCCCATTCCCACCCCACTCTGGGGCCAGTCAGAGGTGGCATTTGCCGGTTCTCCAAAATACTCAAAATTTCTGCTACTGGTTCTCCAAAACCTGTCAGAACCTGCTGGATTTCACCCCTGATAAATTCCCCCTCACCCACCAACCTCTCTTTCTTTGGCCCAATGCTGACATAATAATTTAACTGCCAATCTACTTTCTGTTTTGCTTAGCTACGATTGCAGTAACTTAATCTTTGGTCAAACGAAGAATCCCTTGAATCACAAGAAAAGTCCTGGTGGGTCCTCTGGAGGAGAAGGGGCACTGATTGCAGGAGGTGGATCCGTCTTGGGCTTTGGGACAGATGTTGCTGGAAGCATTCGCCTGCCCTCCAGCTTCTGTGGGCTTTGTGGACTCAAACCAACAGGCTCTCGGTTAAGGTCAGTTCTACATTCTTCTTTGGGCTAATAAACATCCCAATGTCTGGATGCTAATACTGATTGGGTCATATGTTTAAAAGCATGCTTAGGAAATGTTTCATTTCTGCAGAAATGAAAAGATGCCGGTTACATTCATAAAATGTTTTTTTGTTTATAAATATTCTGATGAATACAGATCCTTTAGTAGGGGGTACCTTTATTATAATTCTCATTATAAACATATTGACATTTTTTTATCATTTTAGCTTTAATTGTTATCTGAAGTTCAGCTCCTTTCTTGGGACTTTTTATTTGAATGCATGATAGCAAATACCTTATTATTTTGTCTTGTTTATGTATTTTCCAGCACTCTGGGTCTTGCTAGTCCAGTGGCAGGCATGAAATCAGGTGAGTAATAAGCGTGGATTCTGTTTGTGTTTTGGTGCTTTTAAGTCAGCCTTGACTCCTACCAATTGCCTAGACAAGTCCATGGAGTTTATTGGCCTTATTTTCAGAATTTGCTTGCCTTCTTCTGAGAGAGCAAATACCCCAAAGTCATTCAACTGAACTCTGTATCTAAAGCAGCATTAGAACTTTCCTTGTTTCTAGCCTGATGCCTTTAAACCCTCATACAATTTGTTCCCAAGTAATAAGTAGCTATGCAAAAATTGATTTATTTAAATATGTATACATGACCTTTCTAGTCAAAAATCTACCAAGATGGTTCATGGGCAAATATATACATAATAATACGACATTCTTACAAAATGTTATAATATTACAACCTCTGCGTTGTGTGAGCAAAATATTAATTAAATTATTAATTAAAATAAATAAATTAAATTAGTGAATTACTTAATTCAGAGTCAAGTAAAAGAAATGAGTTTTCAACGACCTTTGAAAAGCCTTATTGGAGTTAACCTAGGTCTATAAAGTGAGCAAACGATAAATTGTTGGACAAATTTATTGGGGAAACAGGTGAGCCTACAAATAGCCTTTTCCTAAGCTTTTCAGACATCAATGGTCAAAATCAACACTCTGAATTATGTCCAGACAGATATAGAGCAACTGATGCAAAATGGACAAAAAAAAAGTTTTGCAACAACAATCGCTTACTGGCTGCAATCTGCACTATTGGGAATTCCTGTGTCTTCTTTAAAATAGCTTCATATACAACATCTCAACTTGTCTGGTCTCCAGTCAAACCCTGGTTGCATCTCTCAGTGATAAAATGGATCGAATGACTGGTTTTCTGCTATTAAAGAAAGATGTAGTAGCATTGCTTCTAATTAATTTATGAGGGCCAGTACTAAGACTGAAATTTGACCTTGTTTCTAGGTCTGGTATCTGGGGATTTTGTTCTAAAGAGGTCAGAAAGAACAGGCATGGAGTTTGGAGACACTTTTAGCATAATAGTTGCACTGGAGACTCAAAAGACTTCTATGGTCAGGAGAACATTTAATTGTTAGTCATTTACTGCACATCACTTTCTAAGTAAGAACAAATTAGCTATGTTACTCATGCATTTGTAACCTTGCCGTTTAATTTCTTTAATATGCTTTGTGAGAGACTACCTTGCACTTGATCTGGAGACTGAAGCTGGTGAGAATGCACTGGGAAGATTCCCAGTGCACTGGGAAGACTCCAAACAACTAGCATCAGGATATTTGCGAGATCACCTTTATTGTTTTTGATTTGGGTGGTCAGTTATATTTTATGATGTGTTATTTTAATGTATTACTTTTATTATTTATTTTTAAAATTGTAAACTGCCATGGAATACAATTCTATGGAAAATATAGGAAATATAGTAAATAAATAATCTGAAATCCAATATATCTTTCCATTAGTTGCACTTCTGACTCCATAGGTTAACCTTGGGAAATACTGTATGTCTGGTCAAATTATTTATCTATTCTAGCTAGCCTATTATTGATGGATGCCTAGTCACCAGCTAGAACCTTTTACCTGACTTGTTTCATGCAGTCCATTTCATTGGAGATCCTGTTTCCTTTATAGTGACAGCAACAATTGGTCCAATGGCAAGAGATGTAGATAGTCTGGCTCTGTGCATGAAAGCTCTCTTATGTGATGAGTTATTCCACCTGGATCCTTCAGTACCACCCTTGCCATTCAGAGAAGAGGTAATACAATTGTGAAGAATGAATGAATGCAACCAAGAAAGAACATTAGAAAAATTGAACACCATGGATAAAGCCATTTCAGCCAACCATAAATTATAACCTCTTTTTGCAAATAGTTTCCTGTTAAGGGCATATATGTCATGGCACTTTGCTGACCAATTGCATGAACATTTTCTCCTTTGCTCAAACGAAGACATGAATATGTCATTATATACAAGTCTAAATTTGTCAGCATCTTGACTGTTTCATTCAAAAGTAATGAAATCATCTCTATTTTGGTTAACGGGAGCTTTTAACTATTCCACTGAGGTAAATTATTTCAGCAACTGCCATGATGTAAGTATTTTGATACCAATCTTATTTAACTTTTTCAGATATTCAAAAAAGATCATTTAATGATCACAGATCAATCTATATAAATCATACGTTTTAAATTTAAATGATGATCCAACTGTTTTTATTTTTTTTAAAGCTAAGTATAAAAACCAAAGCAAAGTAAAAACTAGCAAAGTTAAAAGCTAAGTTTAAAAAACAAAACTAAATTGTAGGAATATATACAAATTAATTTGTAATCTTATGAAAGATTATGAATCTTTCACAAAAAGACATTTGTGTAAATGAAAACAATGTTAGGAACTTCTGTTAAAACATAACTTTAAAATGTAAAGTAAATGTAGTAAAAGAATTATTAAATAAAGATAAATATCTATGGAGATTCTTGGTCATCCAGGTCATGGTTGTCCCAAAGGTGCTTTTTCAAGAGGCAACTGGACTGTCTGGTTTTTCTTATTTCACTTCTCATCCAAGATCAAGTCTAGGGATGGTGAAATTCGATTACTATTTCACATCTTTCCTATTTTCCTTCTCTCTAGATTTACACCAGTTCAAATCTCCTTCGGATTGGATACTACAAAGATGATGGATACTTCGAGCCCTCCCCAAGCATGAAAAGGGCTGTTCAGGAAACAAAAAATCTTCTTCAGGCTGCAGGACACACAGTACATGCATTTATTATTATTTTTCACTTGGGTTCTAGTTTAAAACATTTCTGATATTTGTGCATCATATACTGTATATCTCAGAAAAAAATCTCATATATCTCTGACCCACATTACTCACAATTATCTATAAAATGGGAACCCTGAAGGCCTGTGCTCCCAGTACATTGCTTTAGAACCAGTATATTTGTGCTTAAAATAGACCACTGAAATCAATCAATGTGTTAATTGAATTTAATTGTCATATTTATAAGTGTATCTATTCAGTCTGGTAATTATCTTTCCTGGCTATGAATTTTTACAAGTCTACAAAAATATAAACTAGACAATATTGATAAGCATGTGTATTTGTTTATTGTCTGTGTGCTCTATTAGTAGTGCACCAAGTTTTTTAAGAAATGTCATTAAATCACCTTTAAACATAGTTTAATATAGTCTACATGGTATCTGTACTATGGAGTCTGCACTACCTAGCAGAAAAATTAATATATGTTACCATGTGTGTTAAGTCATAAACCTACAGTTCTGCTACATTGTATAGATTAGGATCTTAAGGAGTATGCACAGCTTCCCACATAGAAATGTGTTGTAGCCCTAATATAAACCAAATTGGAAGTTTGTCTTATATGGTGAAAAACAATGCACATCTAATTCTCACTACATACTTTATGTAGTCTTCATTTTTTTTCCTTTTACTTCCAAATCTATATTTAAATCTTGGATATATGCTAAATTAGCATAATATGAAAAGGCCCATAGCCTGTTTAGTAAACCATGACTAAAAAGCCACATTGACTAGAAAACTATAGTTCACAATCAGTCTGGAAAGCATCATGATGCTAACGGATAGTCTACACTACACATTTTAATGCAAGCAAGTTTAATAAGAAGAAAACATAAAAATTATCTGTTTCTGTTTATCAAATCTGTTTATCAACTCTTCCTAAAAAAGAATTAGACAGTTCTTAAAACTTCTAGTTAAATTATCTGCATATGGGACTGATATCATTCTGTCCACTGTAAAACAACTAACCAACAATTATAATTTATCTTTTTTATGCAGCTCATCCCCTTTGTCCCCCCTCGACTTAACTATGTAGTGGATGAGCTTTTCACTAAAGGCATCTTTTCTGATGGAGCTGCAAATTTACTGGCTAAATTGTAAGTAGATATCTTGGAATGTAAGCATGCCTTGAACTCTGGCTAGTCTGGGCACCGCTAAGCTAAAACAATGTAAAATTAAATGTAATAAGAAATTCTAGGTTTCTTTGAGAACCCTTAGTCTGAATGTGAAAAAAAATATGCATGTAAAGTAATAGTTTAATAAAATGTCATGTTTTTAGGATCAAAAATTATTCTGAAATGAACATATTTAACCGAAAATTTATTTACTATATTTTTAATCTGCCACAACCTTGCAAAAAGTTCCAATGTTGTAATAAGATAATAGAATTACAAAAATTGTGCTCAAAAGATATAACAAACCCATGTTTTCCCCCAAATAAGAGGACCTTATTTTCTTTTGACCCCCCCCCCCCCGAAATAAGCGCTTGGCCATATTTTCAGGGAGGTCTTGTTATTTTTGAGGTGCAGGAGGCGGCATGGTCACCTCATGGCTGTTGCGGTGTTGCAATATTTTCAGGGAGGGCTTATTTTCAGGGGGAGGACTTATTTTTTGTTCATGTGCTCAAAATCCCGATTGGGTTTATTATCCAGGGAAGTCTTATTTTCAGGGGAACAGGGTATGAAATTAAAGCTTTTAAGATTTTATAGTTTCCTAATCATACATTAGATCAGTGTTTCCCAACCTTATCAACTTTAAGATTGGTGGACTTCAAATCCTAGAATTTCCCAGGCAACATGCTGGCCCAGGAATTCTAGGAGCTGAAGTCCACAAATCTTAAAGTTGCTAAGGTTGGGAAACACTGAAGTAGAGTATCTCTCATTCAGCATTGACTTATGTATGCCTTTTAAGGTGCCTGTACAGATCTTTCCACAATCTTGCTATTACTGTATATCTTGGCACTTTGTCGATAAAATGTGTGCTTTACCACCAAGCTTATTTTACCTATTTTAACATCCAAACTAAGAAATTAGAACCCTATGTATTTTTACTATGTACTCTAAAGCTTTATTGTAGAGACCTACCACATGATAAAAAGATATAAAACAACATAAAAAGATGTTTCACATTGTTCTAAAATCCTAAATTTAAGACAAACTTTCCCATAATAAACGCCAGCAGCTGCAAGAGATTTTATGACATTCTGGGTGATGTTAAGATTCCAGTGTGATAACATAAAGCAAACAAAATAATCCTCAAAACAGATCAACTTCTGTCAGTAAGTGGAGATATGCAGGTAGGGTACATCTAAGGAACAAATAGTCTAAACTTTTATTATATTTTTCATTTGGATGCATGTAATTGAAGAATATAATTCTTGGGAACCTAAATTCATAGACTGAATAATGTAAAATCAGAGAAAATGACTGATTTTGTATACTAGTTGTGAGTTACTGGCTCACAATTACTATATCTTTATTTCTATGAATTTAGTCAAAAGAACTACCATTTAAGTAATATTGGTTATTAGAGAGCACTGCTGTTTACTATGAAAAAGGACTTGGTTTCCTTTTCTTTTCATCTCCCAGCAAAGGGGACATTGTTGATCCAGGTTTGAAATCCCAGATTAACTGCTACAGTATTCCCACCATACTGAAAAGGATTTTGGCACTCATTTTAAAACCAGTGGTGAGTATTTGGCTTATGTCTTACCCTGTAATGACAAAAAGGTGAAACATGCTTAGCTTAACTTGTTACATTAGAGATTTCCTGATATGGAAGTGTATCCAAATGTGTTAATCCAAGTCAGAGTGTCTTTGTGCCCTAGCTAATTTCATTCATCCTTAAGAAATAACGTACATGATTACATACAATAAAAATAAATAAACTTGTGTTTCTCCCTTAGTATCCCCGGATTGCCAGAGATCTCAATGCATTATGTGGAGTTGGGTAAGGAATAAGAGCTTAAAATTATTTTCAGCATCTAGTGCAGACAGTACCATTCTCCACCCTGGTGTCTTCTAGATCTGTTGGGCCACAAATGGTAGCATTCCAAATAAAAATAAGAGTTGTATGAAGTAAGCAAGATGACTTTGACAGAGCTATGCAGGCTCCATTGCCAGGATAAAGTATTTTTAAAGCCCATAATGTCCAGATAAAGTTTTGAAGTAACTCAAATAGATTTCTCTCTAATTCACTGAACTTTAAGAAAGAGGAAGAAATTTAGCAAAGTCAGGCAGGTGTCTATGTGAGGCTCTTCTGAACCTTATCTGAATGTTCGGGCCTTAAAATGCTTCATCCATATTGCTTTGGTATGCATATCTCCAATAAGATCATGTTCCTTACTCTCTGTAGAATGACCCTTTGTTTTTATCCTGCTGGCTGCATTTCTACACATTGTGGTCCAACACATAAGGCGGCATCAGGTTGAGCAAAGAGAATCTGGAATATACATCCTCCCCATCTTGAAGCAGAAATGCAGAAGATGTAATTCCATGATCCCAAGTGTTCTGCCAGTCACAGTTTAATATGATGTTTTTAAATAAAAAGAATCAATAACCACAGTTTGACTTCAAGGCAGCAATATCAAGCACCATGAATTAGGCATATTTATGCTTGAAAATAAGAGGCTTTTCAGAATGCATAGGAGCATGTCTCAGGCTCACAGGAAAACCTGAAAAATGATATTGGTGCTTTAAAGAGGTAAAGCACTTATTTTCCCATACATTCTGAAACACCTCTTCTGAATTACTGTGGAAGCATTCATAGCCTTGACTTCTGATACTTTCCCTTCTGGTAATATTCTCAAACAGTATCAATCATTTAAAACCAGGTCAAATTTCAATATGACAAGTTTACCAGTTGAGTGCATTTACATTACATAAGGTTATTATACTTTAAAATAAACCTCCTTCCTATATTATGAGAAAAGAATCTCTTAGGGAAGTTAAACAAAATATATCAAGAAGGAATGGTACCTTTAATTTCAATAATTCAAACAAACTTTCGCAAAGTAGTTGACAGTGGTGAAACCATGTATTATAACCAGAAAGGACAGCATAAAATCTGGATAATTATTAACTATCTGTTAATTTACAGTGCAAACAATAAGCCTGGTTATACTTTTAGATTTTGCAATACTGTTTAACAGGAGTGGCATACACTTACCTTCCCTACCTGTTTGCAAATGTGAGTGCAGGGGCCGCTTGAGCACATGCGCACAGCCTTCCGTGCATGCGCTTTTGGCAAAAAAAGGGCTAGATGTGATGCCACAGAGCTGGGCATGGGTAGGTGGGGCCACTAGCGATTTCCGCTGCTGGTTTGGGCGAACCGGGGCGAACCGGTAAAATACCATCTCTGCTGTGTAAACTTCATACAAATTGGCCAAACTACAAAAGTAAGCACAGGGATCGTGGCATTAGTAGTGTCAGTGATTTAGATTATCCAAGGACTGTCTCAATTCACCAAAATGTCCCTAAATACATAGCTAGGTTGCAGTTGGATACAGAATCACCATTTCACTAGCCAATAAATTTCCTCTCATGCAGATATATTTTAATCATCATTTTAACTGGGACTCTTCATGGAGCAGTTGTTAATTAATTATCTCAATGTTTGTAGGTCAGCCAAACACCTTTGGAAGCAACATGCAGCAGTGGCAGTAAGTCTGAAATCTTGGTATCATGCTCATGAGCCATAATACTTCGTTTACATAATGATTAAGCTGTCATCTAAAGTTCTAGTTAGTGATCACTAGTAATGTTTGATGCTAGAAGTATTTTCTCATCACCAAAATGTATTTTAACATAGGCCGAGCAGATCTAAATGTCTCTCAGTATAGTAGCTTTTGTAAACAGAAACTGAAATGCATTGCCTAAATAAGTAACTCCAATATTTATTTATTTATCAATTTTATAAAGCCACCCATCTATCCAATAAAACTGGGTGATGAAACATACAATATGAAACATTAGCAATAAAGCAACAACAAAACACAGGTTAAGTCCCCCCCCTCATTAAAACTACAAAACATTTGTGAGATACATACATCCCAAGCTTCTCAAACAAAAAGCCTGGCCCCACTGCCTGGGGAAATTAATATACTTGGGGGCAAGCATTATTATTTTCAGAATAAAGATTCTAGCAAGTTGGCTGTGTCTAAAGAAAGCTTGCAGAATCCAATCTGGGTTGGTTACAGGGACCAGAGCAGAGGTGGGTTTCTACAGGTTCGAAGTGGTTCGGCTGAATAGGTAGTAACTCGGCCAGACACATGACTGTACCGGTTCTATCCTGGGTGCTGCCATCTTTACTTTCTGTTCTGCACATGTGCAGAACAATCTTCATTGAAAAAATGTAATCCCCCCACTTTTTAACAGTGTGCTTATGCCAGTCCCAGAGAGGTCCCAGGGATGGGCCATTTTTTTGCAAAAATGGAGGCCTTTTTGCCTTCCTCCAGTGCTGCTGAAGCCTGCAGAGTGTTCCTGGGAGCTGGGGAGGACAATAACTTTTTTTTCTTACTGGGTAGTTTGCAGGCACTCCCTTAGCTCCGGTGAGGCTGGAGCTCCCCCCCATCAAAACTTTTTGCCACCGTTTCAGTGGGCATGACTTGGTGAGGGGGCCATGTGACTAAGTGTGCATGAGTGACATCAAGTTGGTCACGCCCACTCAGTCACATGCCCCCCATCTAGCCATGCCCACCGAACCAGTAGTAAAAAATTTTGAAACCCACCCCTGGACCAGAGGTTTAGTCTCCTGAGCGTTTGGACTCATGCTGGAGCCCATCCTCTGGGAACTTCTCTATAACAGCTTTGGGCTATTGTGCTTTGGCTATTGTGCTAGAGAGAAGTTCCCTGAGGATGGCCTCCAGCACGAGTCCAAAAGCTCGGAAAACTAAACCTCTGGACCTGGTAATCGATCCAGATTACATCCCACAGCATTATCCTATGACATTTCTATTTACTTTCGTTCATGAAAGAAAGCTTGCTTCAAAATTGTCCACTACATGGGCAATTAAGGGGAGTTTGGGGGAGATTGAAGGAAATGTTTTGCTTAGTCCATTTTGCCAAAATGTTCTCTACAGGCTTACCGTGAAGAATTCATTGCTGAATGGAGGAAGCTGAAATTGGATGTCATCCTCTGTCCAGTCCTAGGACCAGCTTTCAATGAAGGCTATCCTGGAAAACTGTTTGGTATAATATCCATTTATTTTTGTTGACTTTTATTTATGGTTTCAGAAAACAACACTGAAAAGCTTGCCTCTTACATATTAAAAAAGCTATTTGCCCAAGTGTGTGCAAAGGTCCAGAAAAATATTTAGTCATTAGTTTTGAACAAATTAATCTTTAGAAATATTTCAGGTTGCTAATTACTATGTCATTGTTTTTATTGCACTTTATGCTTTGCATTGCTTTCTAAGTTACACTTACATATTTAAACGTTAAAATTTAAATATCAAAACTGAAAAATTTCTCCCAGAATCACCAGACAATTAAAAAATTACTTTGATTTAAATTTTCTTCTCAGCATTGGGAACCATATAACAAGTCTTGTTTTAAACTTCTCCCAAAGCACCGCTGACCTAAAATGTAGTTATGCTTCACTGTGGACTAGTCTGGCTAGAGGGAAAAAGATCTAGTTTTCAAATGGAAAATACAAATCCACATTAAAGCCTAGGAATATCTGGTTCAGTTTCAATGACTGGAGAATAGGAATGTTAATGGGTGTTGTGGCCTGCCAGCAGCCAACAGAGCTGGCAGCAGATTCGGACACTGAGGAGGTTGGGGAGGAACATGGGCCATTCCTGGAGTCTGGGCAAGGCTGTGATGAGGGCTCTGTGTCAGGCAGAGAGGGGTCCAGAGCCATATGCCAGCTATCAGCTGCTTTCAGAGTCAGGCATCAGTGAAACAGATGAACAGTTGGAGCCTATTCCCAGTGTGCGCATGTGTAGAGCTGCCAGATGAAGGGAACAACTAAAGAACAGGGGTCGACTTGGGAGTAAGGCCAGACTCTGGCCCCTCCCAGAGGAAATAAAAGAATAGCAAAAGTGGAGTGGAGGGGAGTTTGCAGGAGACAATTAATTCACTAATTGGTTCGGGACTCTCCAAGACTCCTTGCCAAGTTCTGCAGTTGTTGGGCTGTCAGCTCTCCAAACCAGATAAGGTCTGTGGCTGTAAATCCTCCTTTGAAAGACTTTGCCGGCTGTGAATGAGCAGAATTCACTGTAAAATAATAAAAGAGGATTTTTCCAGGACAAGGAGTTTGTTTCATGCTCTTAGGAAGCCTCGGTTAGAACAAAGGGGACCACACTAGATCTTGTCCATGGTCACAATAACCTTTCCTGGATGATCTGTAGAACTTTGATTGATTAACTTTTGTTCTGTTCTTTATAGCTGCTACTTCATATACTAATTTATACAATGTCCTGAACTTCCCTGCTGGGGTTGTGCCAGTCACTAATGTCACCCAGGCTGATGAAGAGGAGCTGAAACAATATGAAGGTCATTATGCTGACCCCTGGGATAAACGGCTGAAAGAGGTCTGTATGGTAGCGGAAAGAAACAAGCTGTCTTTCTGAAAATTCATCATGTAGTTGCCTCTTCCTGTTCTGACTGTCCCTCTATCTTCAGGCTGTCACGGATGCTGTTGGTCTCCCTGTAGCTGTCCAGTGTGTAGCTTTGTCTTGGGAGGAGGAGCTGTGCCTTCGGTTCATGAAGGAAGTGGAGACCCTCACCTGCAAAAACAGACTGAAAGCATAATCTGTTGCTCATGGTTCCTCTTTGTTTTGGATAGCCTAATGCAGAAAAATGGAAAATAATAAACAATTCAACATGGCACAATCAGAACTGGAACATGTTATAAATTCTTTGTAAAGTATGGTAAAGTATACTTTACTTTAGCACATGGCAGAAAATGGTTGACCTTATTTAGACTTTGAAGCTAAGTGGAGCAAAGCCTGGTTAATATTTGGATGAGACATTATAAGTGAGTTATTTTCTGGCAGAGGGCAATGACAAACCATCTCCATAATATTGTAAGAAAATTACACATATGCATTCACAAAGTCATCAGGAATTGAGCTTGACTTTATTATTATTTTTAAATATAACTCATCTGAAGAATTCAAAAGGATGATATATCAAAGGAAGCCTATTTATCAGTAGGGCTTAGTTCTTCCAAGCAGTAAGTTAGATGACAAGTCTGAATCCAAATGATACTATTTTAATAATTGTTTGGGTGCCCATTTGTTTGGCTTTTGAAATCACCAGGGGGAAAAACTATCATGTTTGAGAAAAGGCTAGACTAGAATGTTACTATCTTCGACCAAGTTTCTATGCACAGAGATTTGTTTTGATTGTGGTAGGAACAATTATTGGTACACAAGCACCCTCATCTTTTGTTTGAAATTGTGGATCCAAATGCAAAAGTTCTCTATATTGTGTGTTCTTATATTGTTTTCACATTGTATGTGAAAACTGAGGCAAAAAAATGCCACAGATAACATTGGCTGACTTTGAAAAGACATTGGCAGTTTAAAATTGGAGAAAGGACTAGTCTTGTTTAAGCAAATGTAGACAATTCATAGACTGTGTCAAGGTTCCGAGCAATGAACCCTAGCAAATCAAAACTCTGAGGCTTGGCTCTTTCTCAAAGATCTTCTTTAATGAGTACATCATATGTACTCATTGCTTCAATGGAAAACCATTGAAGCAATGGAAAACCAAATCTAAATCTTTCCCCCGGGTTCAGTATAATTAAAATAGCAAATAACCCCACCTTCAAGTGTCACCGGTCATGTTGGCCATTTGGGTTAATTGGCAGGCTCTTCATTTTCATTTCATTTCATTTTCCCTTTATTTGTATGCCGCCCTTTTCCCTGGGGGGACTCAGGGCGGCTCACAGTTCAAAAAAAAAGGGGGGGCACTTCTTTTCCAACCTTATCTGTTGCTGGTAAAGACGACCTTGGTTCTCACAAGAAAGCTCTTTGTTGTATCTAGTAATGCATTCCAACCTCCTTCACTCTCTGTGTGGCAACTGAGGAACAGAAAGATGGCTGCAGTCAGATTCAGTTCAAAGTTGATTTGCAGCCCTCACATCCTATGATTGCCTAGCTGAAGTTCTCCAGCAAAAGGGACAGATGTCAGTGAAGTGATTTGAGCCTCTTTTTCACCATGGTGGTTGTTTTAAGAGAGAAATGGTAATAATTTTCTTAAGAGACCTCATTCTCCTATTCCTACCTTCCCCCCAAAAGGAAAAAAGGGGGGAGCACCACTCTTTCTCTGGTAATTGCTGTGAATATTTCTCCAGAAGGTTGATAAGTTGAAGCTGAGTTAAGAATCCCTACCTCCTACCTCCAAATAATTTAACAACCGGTTCTCTGCCATAATGATTTCTTCCAACAACCAGTTCACCATACCTCTCAGAAGGTTAGCAACCGATTCTCCTGAAGTGGTGCGAACTGGCTGAATCCCACCACTGCCTACCTTGCAAATGATGCCAGCCCTGGTTTTAGTTGCTCCCTCAGGGCTCTCTAGCAGTAACAATGGTCTGGCTGGATTTACCCTTTTCTCCATTATGTTTAATAGCAAGCATTTAGATTTATACACTTTACAGCACTCTTTGGGTGGTTTACAATGTCAGCATTATTTGCATATTGCTGCCAACAATCTGGATCCTCATTTTACCAACTTCAGAAGGATGAAAGGCAACCTTGAGCCCCCTCAGGATCAAACTCTAAGCTGCACTTAATCATTGCTCCACTAGGGATACTGATTGGGAGAGAAGGCACTTAAAACTGAATAGAGTGTCTGATGGATACTTTCCAGCCTTGTTAAAAAAAATCAGTGGGTTGTTTGCAGATGATTTCTCCACCACTTCTTGAAATATGGATAGTCCTATCCTAGCAATGTGTTCACAGGTAGAACTGAATATATGAGAAGCTGTTCCCTTCAAGTCATGCTGTTGAGGTCCCAGGAGAGGCACACTTCACAAATAGTGTAAAAAGACTACAGCTGTGGAGTCCTTCCACATAAGTAAATGCTTTTATGTGAGGTATCTCACATGATGCAGGGTAGAAATCTCCAGTTGATAGGTTCCAGCTTATGTGAGACATGAATTTGAAACCTTCCCACTAAATACAATTATGTTGTATGGGAGGAGAACTGACTGTTCACTGTAATTATCTGAATTTCTCAGGGGACAGACTGCTCACCTTTATGTCAAATTTTTATATACCTGATAAAGTATATCAACTGAATGAGGCTGATATGATCATGTAAAGTTTTATAGTTATGTGGTCCTTCCAGAAAGTTCTGAAGAAGACAAATGTCTCTCTGGCTCTGTAGAAAAACCAATACTGCTGTAAGCGCAGAAGGCTTTTAAAAGATTAACCAAGGTTGGAATGGTCCATCAGTCACTTTGTAGATTTTTCAAAAATAAATGTACTTCTGAACTATCCTTACTTCTAAGGAGTGTTTTAAATAGCTGGATCACAATGTAGTGTATTGAAGAGAAGATCTAGGGATGACATGATAGCAATATTTCAATATTTAAGGGGCTGTTACAGAGAAGAGAGGAACAACCTATTCCCCAAAGCACCTGAGGGCAGGACAAGAAGTTACAGATGAAAATTTATCAAGGACAGATCCAACCTAGAACTATGGAGAAATTTCCTGGCAGTGAGACCAAGTAATCAGTGGAATGGCTTGCCTCCAGAAGTTGTGGATGCTCCAGCATTGGAGGTTTTTAAGAAGAGACTGGACAGCCAGTTGCCTGGAAAGGTATAGGGTCTACTGCTTGAGCAGGAGGTTGAACTAGAAGACCTCCAAGATTTCTTCCAACTCTGTTATACATCCATATACATATATGGAATGAAAAAATGAAAATAAACAAAATTGGCATTGGTGGTTGGTGTGTTGGGCTTCCTATAGATAGTTTTAGAGAAATGAGGCAGGGGTCATCTTTACAGTATCTGATCATGTCACCCCCTTGTCTTTTTAGTATTTGGATCCTCGCTTTGCACTCAGTTAGTAAATCTGAGACATAATTGTAATAAACTAGAATGTATAGCCTTTGTCTATGACAACCGCCACAGCCAACTTCTCGTGACCAATTCACCATGGCCCACTCACCACAGGAGAAGAGTTACACTAATATTAGAGAAAGTGGAATAGAGTCATTAAAGAAAGGATGCCAAAGAAGGGATGAAATGAAATGTGAATGGCAAAAATTAAAACAATGCTTTTATTCTTTTAAATAATTAAAATTGCAGAGGTGGCATCTATAGAAGGACTGTATCAAGTGCTAATAACAGTGATTAAATTTAGGATTAAAAAACCCACCAACAGAGAGCCCCACCTCCCCCAGTCATGCCACTTTTTCACAGCATTTTGAAAGAATGTTTTGTATGGAACATGAAGTCAAGTACAAAGTCACATATGTATATGTTCATATTTTTTTAATATCAAGTATTCTTACTGCTACAAAAGATTAGCCTATGATGAAAAATGACCAAAATCGGCAGGTATAATAATAACTCCACAGAGGGGGAAGGCATTTTCCAGCCACAGGACATGTCAATCTTTAAATAGCATTTTATGCAGAATAAACAAAAATCGCAGGTTGCAAGAAGCATCCTTAACTCTTCAAGATATTTGGAGGATTTTACTTGACATTCTGAAAATTCTGCTTGTCATATTATTTTTATAGGGGTTTTTGGGTGAGGGGTTCTATACATATGCTCCCTTAGTTGCTAGTCACAGTACATTTTCAAAGTTCCCAAGACATTGGTGGTCAAGGAACTCTCTAACGTGGAAAGAGTTTTATCTAGGTTGCATCTGTATCCCTCAAACTTGCAGATATGGAAATGAATTAAATTTCACTTGAGGTCTGAGAATAAGTGATATGGAATTTAATTAATGGAGAGAGAAGAATTTAGGAGTGGGAGACTGAAATCAACAAGAGTAGGAAGATGGAAAATAGCTTATGAAATGTAACCTCAGTTCTAGGGTGGAGAAAGGAATGTAGGCAACTGGTATTCTTCCTCACTGGAAGATTAATGAATCCACAACACAAAATATGTTTGCCAAGGGAGACGGCAGCAATTTCAACCTTTATTTGTGCTCTACATGGGGCTGCCCTTGAAGTGCATCCGGCGGCTACAGTTAGTTCAGAATGC